AGGAATTATTTTTTCCACTTCTTTTTCTGACACTTCATTATTAGAGTATAGGAAGGCTATGGATTTTTGAACGTTGATTTTTTATCCATAGACTTTACTGTATTTGCTTATTGTTTCTAGTAGTGTTCTTCTGGAGTCCTTAGGGTTTTCTATGTAGAGGATCATGTCATTCGCAAATGGTGACAATTTGACTTGTTTCCTATTTGGATGCCTTTTATATCTTTCTCTTGCCTGACTGCACTCGCTAGGACCTCCGATGTTATATTGAATAACAATGATGATAGTGAACAGATTTGGCTTGTTCCTGATCTTAGAGCGAAGGTTTTTAGTTTTTCACCATTAAGTATAATGTTGGCTGAGGGCTTGTCATTTATGGCCTTTATTATATTAAAGTATTTTCCTTCTATACCAATTTTGTTAAGCGTTTTGATCCTAAATAGTTGCTGTATCTTGTCAAACAAATGCCCAGAAATTTTAAACTCAAACTTGGACAACCAAAAAAGCCATATTTTGAACCCAGATGTTCTATCTCCCCAACCAGTATGATATCTAGTCTTGCTTCTAATAGGACATAAAGTTACTGAAAGTGTCCTTCAAATTTCTTTCTTTACTCTATGCTTTAAATAAGTTATCTTTGATAGCAGTCAGAAATGCTCGCTATTTAATAAAGGAAAACAAGGAATAAATCTTCAAAGGTATTTTAATTAATCTAATTTCTCAAGATCAATAACATATTTTAAGTTTTCTGCAGTAGAAGTACATTCCTAAAGTAAACTCAAGGCAACAGCTGGCAAAACAGTTAAGAAAGAGTAATTTTATTTTAAAATAAATGGTAAAAATCAACTTTACAAAATAACTCTCAATGTGAATTATTTTTAAATAGAAAAAAGGACTGATCAGATGTGCATCAAATAGTACTCTCACTCACTGACATGAGCACAAACACTCGAAACAAGTTATTAATACAAGGGCAAATACATATAGAAATAAATGTACACACCCAAATAAAAAACTACAGATACACCCATCATTTCCCGAGACCAAAATCTTCACATAAATATAATGTCAAATACAGCAAAATAGCCATATAAAGGAACGCACATATACATATATGCATAAATACCAAAACCGAAAGTAACATTTAGATATATGATATAGGTGCTTTAATACATATGCATAAAAACATAGTTCAGTCAGAAATAGCCGAGACAGAAACAAACAGTGATCTACAAAACACCCAATAACATTGTAACCTTTCACTAGTGGTAAAAACTCAACAGTTCACAATGAAATTGAGTTTAATAAAATGCTCATGCTTTAAATAATGGAAATAGCAAAAGAAACCAGACTCTAAAGCCATCCCTCGCTTCCACTGAGTTTCTTAAAAACTGAAAATGTGAAGACACTTCAAAGACTTAATAGAAAAGGGAGGTTGGTAACCCCCATCTAGAATAAAAATTATTCATTAAATCAAATCACTAGAAATAAACAGAAACATTCTGTGAAGTGAGCTAAATTCTTTTTACTTTAAAGGCCCTGCTAGAGACTTGTTGCTGCTCTAATTCACGACTTGGGGAGGCAAAACTAAAAAAGTTATTGCTGGGTTCAGGTGCAGTGGGAGAACCCACAAAAAATGGTCTGAATTG